TTTCCCACGTCATTTACATATGATCATCAAAGACTTCCAGGTGCAGTTTCAGAAGGTTCTCTGACTTGGATTCAAAGGCAGTAGTGAGACTGCTTCAAAGCCCATTTGAAGCAAATGTGGCCAGTTGCAAAGATGAACTGCAGCTGGAGGTCATTGAATTGCAAGAAAATGACTTCCTTAGAGAACGTTCAAAGAAGAGCAGATTAATTTTCATAACTTTTTGCACAAGGACGACTTTCCTAATATTAAAAGTTCTGCATCAAAGTACCTTTCAAATTCTGAAACAACATACCTGTGTGAACAAACATTTTCAATAATGAAATACGTGAAGAACAATTTGAGAGCATACTTGGACCTTGGGGTGGGGTGGGGGGTAGGGTTGGACTCTTGAAATTTGTAAATATTTCTATATAAATAATATTTCGTGGGGGGGGGGGGGGGGGGGGGGTGGGGCGGTAGACGTTCTTCAGGAGGGGGGGGGGGCGCCTTAAAGAAACTTTGGCCCCCGAACTGATATTTCATAGTTAATGCGGCCCTCGGACTGAAAAGTTTGGAGACCCCTGCTTTAGTGGGACTACTCACAGCCTTGGTGAGACTACTCACAGCCTTAGTGGGACTACTCACAGCTTTAGTGGGACTACCCAGAGCCTTGGTGCGGCTACTCAAAGCCTTAGTGGGACTACCCAGAGCCTTGGTGAGACTACTCAGAGCCTTGGTGGGACCACTGAGCCTTAGAAATACATACTCCGCCTTTTTCGTGTGAAATAACACATATTTAGTGAGATGAGCCCTCCCCCTCCCCCAGTGTTCCCAATCTTTCGGAAGACAGTTGTTATCAGCTGATCGATAGCGGGGCGATAAAAATGCCGCGAGACGTGGCCGCTCTTTACTTTAGATAACCCAAGCAATGCGGGTGTAACCATGGACCTCATGTGGCTAAATAATGTCCTCATATGGCCTAACCTTTGTCTTCAAATAACCTAACCAATGTCCTTACATAGCCTAACCAATGTCCTTACATAGCCTAACCAATGTCCTCAAAAAGCTGGACCAGTGCCCTCAAAAGCTGAACCAGTGCCCTCAAAAAGCTGAACCAGTGCCCTCAAAAGCTGAACCAGTGGCCTCAAAAAAGCTGAACCAGTGCCCTCAAAAGCTGAACCAGTGCCCTCAAAAAAGCTGAACCAGTGCCCTCAAAAAAGCTGGACCAGTGCCCTCAAAAAAGCTGAACCAGTGCCCTCAAAAAAGCTGAACCAGTGCCCTCAAAAAGCTGAACCAGTGCCCTCAAAAAAGCTGAACCAGTGCCCTCAAAAAAGCTGAACCAGTGCCCTCAAAAAGCTGAACCAGTGCCCTCAAAAAAGCTGAACCAGTGCCCTCAAAAAAGCTGAACCAGTGCCCTCAAAAAAGCTGAACCAGTGCCCTCAAAAAAGCTGAACCAGTGCCCTCAAAAAGCTGAACCAGTGCCCTCAAAAAAGCTGAACCAGTGCCCTCAAAAAAGCTGAACCAGTGCCCTCAAAAAGCTGAACCAGTGCCCTCAAAAAAGCTGAACCAGTGCCCTCAAAAAAGCTGAACCAGTGCCCTCAAAAAGCTGAACCAGTGCCCTCAAAAAGCTGAACCAGTGCCCTCAAAAAAGCTGAACCAGTGCCCTCAAAAAGCTGAACCAGTGCCCTCAAAAAGCTGAACCAGTGCCCTCAAAAAAGCTGAACCAGTGTCCTCAAAAAGCTGAACCAGTGTCCTCATATAGTCTAAACAAAGTCCTCATATAGCCTAACCATTGTCTTCATTTAGCCGAACCTATATAACAACAAATGGCCTTATCATTGTCCTGCTTTAGCCGAAAGAATGTCCTTTTCTACTCTAGCGAATGTCGTATTATAACTTAACGAATGCCCTGCTATAGACAAGCGAATTTCTTGTAAACATGACGTGGGCACAGATAGGACTTACATTTTTGTAAATGATAGTGATGGTGAGACCATCTCTATGTGTGGGTTGTTCTCGACATCGTCACAACTGCCATCGTTTTAGCACAGATTGTAGCAAATAGTTTGTTTGAAACTTTTACTCCATGCCAAGTTAAGCAGTTTGTGTGCTTTAAACTTGTCTCTCCATGCCAAGTTAAGCCGTTTGTGTGCTTTAAACTTGTCTCTCCATCCCAAGCTAAACAGTTTGTGTGCTTTAAACTTGTCTCCCCATTGCCAAGTTAAGCAGTTTTTGTGATTTAAACTTGTCTCTCCATCCCAAGCTAAACAGTTTGTGTGCTTTAAACTTGTCTCTCCATGCCAAGTTAAACAGTGTGTGCTTTAAACTTGTCTCTCCATGCCAAGTTAAACAGTTTGTGTGCTTTAAACTTGTCTCTCCATGCCAAGTTAAGCAGTTTGTGTGCTTTAAACTTGTCTCTCCATGCCAAGTTAAGCAGTTTGTGTGCTTTAAACTTGTCTCTCCATGCCAAGTTAAGCAGTTTGTGTGCTTTAAACTTGTCTCTCCATGCCAAGTTAAACAGTTTGTGTGCTTTAAACTTGTCTCTCCATGCCAAGTTAAACAGTTTGTGTGCTTTAAACTTGTCTCTCCATGCCCAGTTAAACAGTTTGTGTGCTTTAAACTTGTCTCTCCATGCCAAGTTAAACAGTTTGTGTGCTTTAAACTTGTCTCTCCATGCCAAGTTAAGCAGTTTGTGTGCTTTAAACTTGTCTCTCCATGCCAAGTTAAACAGTTTGTGTGCTTTAAACTTGTCTCTCCATGCCAAGTTAAGCAGTTTGTGTGCTTTAAACTTGTCTCTCCATGCCAAGTTAAGCAGTTTGTGTGCTTTAAACTTTTCTCTCCATGCCAAGTTAAGCAGTTTGTGTTTGAAGCTTGCAACTCCATGCCAAAAGTTGATTAGCCTCCACATAATAATGGGTGTGTGACGCACCGTAATGGGGGTTTCGTGTGTGCTATAGGCTGTCGTCCGGCTCGCTTTCGCGTTTGATCATCAACCTTAGGCTCAATCACTCACGCGTTTGTTTAGGCGAACTTTTGTGCTATCATAAGGCTCACTTTGATATTACGACTCGACCATTAGCCTCAATTAGATGTGATTTAAGCTAGGTCTATTTCTGGTTGATGCCCTGTAGAGAACACATAACCTTAAATCAATGCAATTTTTCCCTTCCAAAATTTTGCAAGTAATTTTTTTTTCCTCGAACAAGCCGTTCTAACACGCATTCGTTGATTTTCTATTTAAAAAAAAACTTGACTGTCAAGATGGGGGAGTGGAGGATTGATCCTGGGGTGTTTCATTCATTCCCCAAACATCCCCGACCCGTGAGGCTGCGAGGGCTGCAGCCCGCGGGCTGGATCGATAACCCCCGCGCTGGTTCAGGCCGGCTCAGGGTGAGCGCGGCACTCGATTGGAATCGCGCGAGTCTGTGTGACACTGTGCTATTCCCAGGACTAGTTAGCACGAGGCTGGTGCCCTATGTCGTTAGGATCTATGTGCTGACCCGTCCAGTTTTGTGGGAGTCCCAGAATAGATTTCGTGCACCGGCTTGAAACTATTTCCTCCTGTAACGCTCACTTCCATTGTTTGGGGTAAGATTTGAATCATTCGTTTTTTCCTTTTTTTTTAAAAACATTCACTTTCAGATAATCAGTTTTTTTTTAAAGCTAGAGTCTAGATCTAAATATAGCCGCCTTAACCTCTTCAACATATTTTTCGAAGTTTTTTCAACAGTGTTAGACTATATATTTTATGTAATAGTAATAATCGATATAGATCTATATTTAAAAAATGCGTCGGTAAAATGGGATAGAATAAAATTTATTCAAAAATATCGTTTTGTAGTGCACGGGTGAATGTAAAATGAGGAGTTACAATCCTCCATTATCCGTGGATTATCGGAGTTCTCCACCCACCGTGTACTCACCCACACGACACACGCTCACACAGACACGGACACAGATGTGTATGAAGGGTGACTGTAATAAAATGTGTCTTGTGCAGCTGTCGTCTCGTCAATTTTATGCTCTCCTGGCTGTGTATGGAGGGATGGGGAGGAAAGGATTACTGACAAACACACATTTATGTAGGATGGGGAGGAAGGGATTACTGCTAAACACATTAATTTGTTAAAACCAGAACTAAAAATTGATTTAGTACCCCCCCCCCTTCTGAGTTAACATTCTATTTTGTTCGACTAAAATGCCAACAGCATTCATTTTGTACAGTAATAATAGTTACATATCATAATACATAAAATTACGAATATTCAGTGATGGTTACATTTTTAAAATTAATTTTTTTTGTTCGTCATGGCATGAATAAGAATATGTAGGGGATGTTTTGTGATTAGTTGCTCACTATGGTAGTTTGACCACATTGGTAGTGAAGGTATGTATGTGTGTGTTTGACGGGATGACATGGTAGTTATGGTGTGGGTGTGTGTGTGACACGGGGTGACATTGGTAGTAAAGGTGTGTGTGTGTGATGGTTTTACGTGTAGTTCGTGGTTAGATCAACATACCCGCATGATATCTGTGTAAAGTGTAGCACTCACAGTGTAGTGTGGCATGCAGCTGTGGTTGAGCATTAAGCTGGCTGTGATTCACACCATCACTATATGCGTGTAGTGTGTACATTTATCTAGGGGTACACACACGCATACATCGGCTCGCTAATTTAAATAAAGTAACATAAACGCCTCTCATTTACTGGCATAAAATGTCATACACCCTAGATATTTTTCTAGTATAAAACTATGTGGGCCATGATAATAACAATACACCTATTTTGTGTGTGTAAAGACTCATTGTATATAACTTTATGCTTATGCAGCATATTCAATGTCAATATCTCAACATTTTTCTATTTTTTAGACTAATTGTATACACATGTATGTATGCAACATACCCATGCCAATATCCCAACATATTTCTATATTTAGAAACCACAGCTGCGTGACCATGTAGCACATCACATGATTATTGAACACCTTGACCATATCCCTGTATCTTTCTATTTTTAGCACGCCCTCCCACGGTCACTCCACATACCTGGATTACTGTTTATCCATTTGGATTATAAGATATCCACAGCACACTGCCTTTGGACTATTTCACCCAGCGGTGCCAAGGATTTCTTGTAGTTTCGGATTCTGTTAGGGACTGCTTGTATTCACTTGTCCACTTTTTTTCTCTCCTGTGTCAAGCCTAAAAGGCTTCCTGTCTAACCATTAGACCTGGCAAAGGTATGTGCTTTTATTACACTAGGTGTTGCCTAGTCGTGTAGATCTAGTTCCCTAGTGTAGAGCCATGTGTTCCCTAGTATGTAGATCTTGTGTTCCCTAATCATGTAGGTTCCATGTTCCCTGTTGAGTACGTACATCTTATGTTTCCTTGTCATGTAGGGCTAGTATTCCCCAGTCATGAAGACCCAATGTTCCCTATTCATGTAGGTTCGACGTTCCCTATTCATGTAGGTTCGATGTTCCCTATTTGCGAAGGCCCAGTTTTCCCTATTCACTTAGTTCCAATGTTCTCTAGTCCACCTTGTGAAGTAGATCTATTTCACCAGTCATAGTCAAAAGTTTGATTATTCCTGTTCCCCTAGTCTTGTTTACCCAATCTTTGCTTGTATTTGATGTGAACCTACTCCTGCCACCTATCCATATGTGTGTTGGGTTAGTTGTTGTATTGATGTGCCATTCACATGGTGTACATAAAACTTGACTCACGGCATACTTGTATCCAGACTGGAATAGGAACCATTCAAGCAAGAATAACGTGTAAATGGTACAACTTTGATGTAAACCTTTGTTTGTCAGTCACTAGTTTGTATCAAGTTTGAACGTTAAGAAAGCGAGAAAATATCCTTAGATCCATCTGTCAAGCTGTGAACACTTTCTTTCCAGCATATCTCACGTGTACAACCCTGAGAAAAATGTCTGAAAGAAACCCTAGGTGTGAGCGACCACGAAATATGCACCACCTGTCACAATGCCCACACACCTACTGTATACACAGATACTAAATAGAATTACCGTTTTTAAACACCAAGTATTTCGATGATATTTGTTAACAAAACGTAACATTTTTCGGACCGTGTAAGGCTGAATTGATCGATCGACCCACCGTTGATCAATGTCGTTCTTGGTTTTTTTTTCTCTTGTGACGATGGCGTTCCTTTCATAATTAATATCACTCATTTAGGCCCAAATTAAATTGTGATTTGTTTTTTGTGTTTGTAAACACTGCGGTTTATTTCTGTACAAATCTAAAACGGTGCAACTTAAAATCTGGGAGCCAATTGTTGAAGAGGCGGGGCTGAAGATCCCTGGGTTCTCTCTCCCATCCCATCTTTATGCCAGTGTCTGTGGACCTTGCTGATCAATGCTGGCTGGTACCACGTGACTCCCGACACCTCCGATTGGCACTCCCCGTGTAGAGAGCTCATCGATAGTTGCTGCACCTGTCGATATGTTCTTACTGTCACACCTTGTGCCATCTACATGGTAGTCACGTCTTTCATAGTGGGGTGGAGGGGGGCACACACCCTGTTCAATCTACATGGTAGTCACGTCTTTCATAGTGGGGTGGAGGGGGGCACACACCCTGTTCAATCTACATGGTAGTCACGTCTTTCACAGTGGGGTGGAGGGGGGCACACACCCTGTTCAATCTACATGGTAGTCACGTCTTTCATAGTGGGGTGGAGGGGGGCACACACCCTGTTCAATCTACATGGTAGTCACGTCTTTCATAGTGGGGTGGAGGGGGGCACACACCCTGTTCAATCTACATGGTAGTCACGTCTTTCATAGTGGGGTGGAGGGGGGCACACACCCTGTTCAATCTACATGGTAGTCACGTCTTTCACAGTGGGGTGGAGGGGGGCACACACCCTGTTCAATCTACATGGTAGTCACGTCTTTCACAGTGGGGTGGATGGATGCACACACCCTGTTCAATCTACATGGTAGTCACGTCTTTCACAGTGGGGTGGAGGGGGGCACACACCCTGTTCAATCTACATGGTAGTCACGTCTTTCACAGTGGGGTGGATGGATGCACACACCCTGTTCAATCTACATGGTAGACACGTCTTTCACAGTGGGGTGGATGGATGCACACACCCTGTTCAATCTACATGGTAGACACGTCTTTCACAGTGGGGTGGATGGATGCACACACCCTGTTCAATCTACATGGTAGACACGTCTTTCACAGTGGGGTGGATGGATGCACACACCCTGTTCAATCTACATGGTAGACACGTCTTTCACAGTGGGGTGGATGGATGCACACACCCTGTTCAATCTACATGGTAGACACGTCTTTCACAGTGGGGTGGATGGATGCACACACCCTGTTCAATCTACATGGTAGACACGTCTTTCACAGTGGGGTGGATGGATGCACACACCCTGTTCAATCTACATGGTAGACACGTCTTTCACAGTGGGGTGGATGGATGCACACACCCTGTTCAATCTACATGGTAGACACGTCTTTCACAGTGGGGTGGATGGATGCACACACCCTGTTCAATCTACATGGTAGACACGTCTTTCACAGTGGGGTGGATGGATGCACACACCCTGTTCAATCTACATGGTAGTCACGTCTTTCATAGTGGGGTGGAGGGGGGCACACACCCTGTTCAATCTACATGGTAGTCACGTCTTTCATAGTGGGGTGGAGGGGGGCACACACCCTGTTCAATCTACATGGTAGTCACGTCTTTCATAGTGGGGTGGAGGGGGGCACACACCCTGTTCAATCTACATGGTAGTCACGTCTTTCATAGTGGGGTGGAGGGGGGCACACACCCTGTTCAATCTACATGGTAGTCACGTCTTTCATAGTGGGGTGGAGGGGGGCACACACCCTGTTCAATCTACATGGTAGTCACGTCTTTCATAGTGGGGTGGAGGGGGGTATACACCCTGTTCAATCTACATGGTAGTCACGTCTTTCATAGTGGGGTGGAGGGGGGCACACACCCTGTTCAATCTACATGGTAGTCACGTCTTTCATAGTGGGGTGGAGGGGGGCACACACCCTGTTCAATCTACATGGTAGTCACGTCTTTCCTAGTGGGGTGGAGGGGGGCACACACCCTGTTCAATCTACATGGTAGATACGTCTTTCCTAGTGGGGTGGAGGGGGGCACACACCCTGTTCAATCTACATGGTAGACACGTCTTTCCTAGTGGGGTGGAGGGGGGCACACATCCTGTTCAATCTACATGGTAGTCACGTCTTTCATAGTGGGGTGGAGGGGGGCACACACCCTGTCCCATCTACATGGGAGACACGTCTTTCCTAGTGGGGTGGAGGGGGGCACACATCCTGTTCAATCTACATGGTAGACACGTCTTTCATAGTGGGGTGGAGGGGGGCACACACCCTGTTCAATCTACATGGTAGACACGTCTTTCATAGTGGGGTGGAGGGGGGCACACACCCTGTTCAATCTACATGGTAGTCACGTCTTTCATAGTGGGGTGGAGGGGGGCACACACCTTGTTCAATCTACATAGTAGTCACGTCTTTCATAGTGGGGTGGAGGGGGGCACACACCCTGTTCAATCTACATGGTAGTCACGTCTTTCATAGTGGGGTGGAGGGGGGCACACACCCTGTTCAATCTACATGGTAGACACGTCTTTCATAGTGGGGTGGAGGGGGGCACACACCCTGTTCAATCTACATGGTAGACACGTCTTTCATAGTGGGGTGGAGGGGGGCACACACCCTGTTCAATCTACATGGTAGACACGTCTTTCACAGTGGGGTGGATGGATGCACACACCCTGTTCAATCTACATGGTAGTCACGTCTTTCACAGTGGGGTGGATGGATGCACACACCCTGTTCAATCTACATGGTAGACACGTCTTTCACAGTGGGGTGGATGGATGCACACACCCTGTTCAATCTACATGGTAGTCACGTCTTTCACAGTGGGGTGGATGGATGCACACACCCTGTTCAATCTACATGGTAGACACGTCTTTCACAGTGGGGTGGATGGATGCACACACCCTGTTCAATCTACATGGTAGTCACGTCTTTCACAGTGGGGTGGAGGGGGGATGCACTCTGTGCAATCTTCATAGGAACATCTTTTTTGGTGGGGTGGAGGGGGGATACACACCATGTAATCTTCGTGGGGGACACGTCTTTCTGGCAGGGGTGGGAGGGGCGCACACACCTTGTACAATTTGCGTGTCAGTGGGGGGGGGGGGGGAGAGGACGACGACGACACACACAACTTGTAGGTATAGTAAAATGTACACGGCACACGCTTTTGTTGTGTACGGATCATGATTGATTTTTTTCTCTTATCAAAGTAAAGCACAATAAATAAGTATTAAGACAACTCAGCTGTGTTAAGTAAAGACAGTGTATTGGTTAAGTTAAGCTACACACACAGCACAGACAAAAACAACACATATAGTTGATATAGGACAACACATACTCAAAGGCACAACACATACAAAAACAACACATATAGGACAACACATACTCAAAGGCACAGCACAGACAAAAACAACACATATAGGACAACACATACTCAAAGGCACAACACAGACAAAAACAACACATATAGGACAACACATACTCAAAGGCACAGCACAGACAAAAACAACACATATAGGACAACACATACTCAAAGGCACAACACAGACAAAAACAGCACATACAGGATAACACATATTCAAAGGCACAACACATACAAAAACAGCACATACAGGATAACACATACTCAAAGGCACAGCACAGACAAAAACAACGCATACAGGACAACACATACTCAAAGGCACAACACAGACAAAAACAACACATACAGGACAGCACAGACAACTACAACACACATAGGGTCAACACATTTTGATTGCAACAAGGCATAGCGTGTAGCTCGCCTTTGATGTTTTCTGCCCAGTGTGTAAACTAGGTATTGTGTTCATCTGTACTGTATCGAGTTGGTGTCGCCTGGTCAGTGTCCACCCTGACCTACTCCACTTATCTTATCATCCCGTATTCTTGCTGTTTTTATCTTGTCGGATTGTGTGTGTACACCGGTCATTGAGAACCCAATCTCTAATGCATTGTTTGACCCCTGGGCACCAAAGCTAGTTCGTCTAAAAACATAAAACTGAAGTCACCAATCAGCGAAGACTGCATGTCCAGTTACAGCACTGGTAATCTATACCCCAACCTCGCCCACCAAAACACGGGGCTG